TTTCTCAACACCCCCCCTCTCCACCACCACTACCACCCCCCTCCAGTCTCAAGCAGCCAGCAGCTATTGTCCTGCTTGCACTCAAAGGGCCAGATCCTGGCCTCCCCTTTATGCCAGCACAAGGGAGCAGGGGAGGTGTAATGCACCCCTTGACGCTCACTGCTGTTTTGTGAGCACTGGGGGAATCTAGGCTCTGCAGCTCCACTTGGTTCCCCGCTCGTCTCATGCAGGTGAATGGAAGAGGGGGCAGGAAGTGGGCAAAGTCTGGCTCCGCCTCCACACTGTGCCCCGTGGAGTAGCTAGGCCGGCATGTGCTGTGACAGGTAAAGACTCAGCCCCGTTTGCTCCCTCCTTGGGGCAGCAGGGAGTCTGGGAGGGGGATTGTGAATCCCCAAGGGCCGTGGTGCTCCAGGGGCAGAGCAGTGATGTGCCCCTTAGTGCGGGTTAGACTACAGATGGAATCTAGCTCAAAGGGGGTGTGGGGGGGGTTAACCAGCTGTTCACAGTTTCTGTGCTCACTGAGCAGGTGTTGGTGTGCCTGAAAATAAGGCCGCCAGGATTGTATGCCCCGCGTGAGGTGCCTGGCAACGCCAAGTGGAGTCAGTGGGAGCTCTAGGTGCTCAGTATTTCTGAGCTTCCCAAACCAGCTGCTCTGGGAAATGCAGGCGGACTCGCGTGAGACAGCGAGCTGCTCTGAGCCTTTGTCTCTCGCTAGCACAGAGCTAGCTTCCTCTCTGCAGGAATGCGGGGGCCCAGCCAGCCACCTCCTCTCACAGTTCTCTCAGCTTTGAAGCCAAGCAGTCAACTGTTACCATCTGGACAAGGGATCAGTTACCTCCTTCCCCTGCTAGCAGCCTGGCTTTGGCTTTCAGCTGGGCCAGAACCTGAGCCGTGATGCAAAACGCTCCCTGAACTTTGAGGAAGTTTGGATCTGGGTCCAAACTTCATGGCTGGTTCTGATATCTCCAAGGGTCTGGACTGAAGCCTGGGATCCCAAAGTTTGGTTGGGCTCCCCCATTGCAGCCCTGACCCCTATTTCTCTCTACTGGGCTAAATCAAAATCCTGGCTCCTAATCCTGTCTGGTAGCATTTTATCCCCACTTGGCCTGGGTGGACATGACTGCCTAAGGGACAGGGCAATGGAGCATTAGACCTGGGGACGATCATATTAAAAATAGATGAGATCCCTGCCTCATTCACTGAGCCTCAGCTGCGGAACTGCTTGGGGAGAGTCAACCCACCCAGCAGCTGTAAACAGGACAAAGATAATTGAATCCAATACGAGCCCTTCTGGGAAACGCCAGTGGCCAGATCTGCCAGTAAGTGCAGGCTTGGAATTAGCATGAATTAAAACAATCAGATGCAGCAGGATGTGTGATGCCCTGATAAGACATGCGGTGGTGAGAGGTTTGCCAAGTTTGTTTGGACATATGCCTGGAGGTTTCATCACATGACATAATCTTTAATTAAAAATTAATTTCTGGGGACTAGGACAATGCTGGAAAGTTGGCAGGCACGCGTACTTGGTGAGGGTTAGGCAAGAAGCGGCGTTCCAGTAACTCCAAGGCACATCAGTATGAGGCCAAAATGTACACCTGGTGGGGCCTTGTTCCCATGAGTAATATGAACTCTTAAGGAAAACGCTGCTGTCCAGGGAAGTATTTTGAAGATGAAGGGACTCATTGAACTTGGGATTAGGGCCTGTGTGAGGGAAATAACTCCACAATAGTTATGTTTGAAGGACAAAATATTTTAATCAGCTTTTTTTAAAAGAGATCTGCTCCATTTTTAGGGCTTGCCGTTTTTGGTTTTTATTTTATTTAATTTTTCCCAGGAATGTACTGTTGTTTATTACCCCAATGACAAAAACAGGTGAAAATTGGTGCAAAAAGCTATTAATAATTTTTCTGGGTAAATATTTGGGTTTATTTTGGTGGATGGAAGGAGGAGGGAAGTATTCAGTAGATTAATGCTTTGATGAATGGAATTAATTGTCATTTGCTGCAGAACTAAAACAGAACTCAAAACCCAATACCCCCTCTGAGTTTAAGAAAACAATAGATCTCTAATCCCCAAATAAAGCTTTTCATTTGTCTAAGCAGTTTACTGTTGTAGACTTAAGTATTAGCCTATAAATATTTATATTTAATAATTGGGCCACACCATTTGCAGTGCATACACTCAGCTGCATCCTTTTCTCGAGTTTTGGTTTTTACCTTTTGAATACTTCCTTGTGGCCTGAAACGTATTCTGATACTGACATTCAGTTTCTTCCCATTTTAGTGTGTCAGATCTTTAAACGGTTATCTGCTAACAGCGTGAAATGGTGGGCCTGAGATTCATCAGTACATTCAGATGCACGTGTATAACCCATGTGCCTAATAGGGAGATATCTCTTTAAGGGGCCAGCTGCCAATGATGCACTCCCGGGGCGTGGTTGCCCCAGTTGCAGTAAAAGAATAAACATGGCTCTAGAGAAGCACTTTGGAATGGAAGGGCCTCAAGCAAGAGACTTCAGCTCTGGATTTAAACTTTCCCAGAATGACCATGGGTTACTCTCACCTGCAGGGATGTGGGCAGTGCATCACTCCCATCTCTTATGGGACTTGTCACAGGGAAGAAGACAGAAGGAGAGATCTTACACACACACACACGGCTGCAAAAAGCTTGAATGTAAGGTACTGACTCTGTAAGACTGGCTGTAGTTAAGCAGGGCTAGCTGGTAACAGGGCAGAGGCTGGATGGGCTAAGCTGTTTCCATCGGAAAGCGAAGAGACAACTAGCAAAACTTTTTTTAAAAAAAAACCCACAAACACCCCCCACCAGCCTTAGTCTTAGGGGCAAGAGCAGGGTTTCAGCTGGGATCTGGACTAGTGAGCCAAGCAATGAGCAGGAGGAGGTGCTCTGGAGCCTGCTCCCATTTCAGTCCATGGGGCTGCATCAGACCCCTTCACCTAACACAAGAACCAGGGGTCACCCCTCACCCAATGAAATGAATAGGCAGCAGGTTTAAAACAAACATAAGGAAAAAAAAATTTTCACACAACGCACCATCAACCTGTGGAACTCATTGCCAGGGGATGTTGTGAAGGCCAAAAGTATAACTGTGTTCAAAAAAGAACTAGATGAGTTTATGGAGGATAGGTCCATCAAGAGCTATTAGTCAAGATGGTCAGGGATGCAACCCCATGCTCTGGGTGTCATTAAACTTCTGAATGCCAGAAGCTGGGACTGGACAATAGGGGGATCACTCCATAATTGCCCTGTTCTGTTTATTCCCACTGAAGCATCTGGCACTGGCCACTGTCATCTGGCCCACTAGTCTGACCCAGTAAGGCCATTCTTCTGCGTGGGGCATCATACAGGGGCTAGTGCAGAGATGGGCAAACTATGGCCCTGTCCTGCTCTGGCCCGCCGCTCCTGTTGGGCAGCACGGCTGGCTCCAGCCAGGTGGCGGGGCTGCAAGCTCCTGCTGCTCTGAGCAGCATGGTAACAGGGTGGGGAGCGGGGGGGTGGAATGAGGGGCAGGCTGTCCCCAGAGCGGTCAGGGCACAGGGAGCAGGCGTGGGAGTGGATAGGCATGGGAGTCCCGGGGAGGGCTGTCAGGGTGCGGGGGTGTGGATGGGTTTGGGGCAGTCAGGGGACAGCGAACAGGGTGGGTTGGATAGGGGGTGCGGTCCCAGGGGGTAGTTGGGGTGGGGGTGTGGATAGGGGTCGGGGCAGTCAGGGGACAGAGAGCAAGGGGAGGTTGGATGGGGTGGAGGTTCTGGGGGCAGTGTCAGGGGACGGGGAACAGCAGGGGGTTGGATAGGCATAGGAGTCCCAGGGGACCTGTCTTGGGGGTGTGTGGATAGGGGTCAGGGCAGTCAGGGGACAGGGAGCAGGAGGGGTTGGATAGAGGGTGGGGTGTTGGGGGGGGGTCCCGGGAGGGGACAGTCAGGGGACAAGGAGCAGGGGGGGTCGGATGGGTCAGGGATTCTGAGGTGGGCGGGAAGTGGGAGGGGGCAGATAGGGGGCAGGAGCCAGGCTGTTTGGGGAGGCACAGCCTTCCCTACCCGGCCCTCCATACAGTTTTGCAGCCCCGTTGTGGCCCTCAGGGCCAAAACATTTGCCCGCCCCTAGGCTGGTGCCTCGCTGGCGCAGCAGAGCCTGGGATCAGCCTGCTGGTCAGTGAATGAGGCTGATATGGATATTGCCTGTCACTAACAGGCTGGATGTTCTGGCTTCTTTCAGCGCCTTTCCTCGCTGTAGCTAAGTGAGTTATCTCCTCACTTCCCCGGGTCCCTTCTCCCACCTCTCCCCCAGCAGCCTCCCCGGGCCATGGGGCCACTGCCAGCTGGGAGGGGAGGCTGCCTTTCTAGGGACCCTGATTGGCCTCCAAGAACCAGTTTCCTTCCCCCATTTTCTCTCCCTCCCAGACTAGTTTACAGCAATGGCTGGGTGCCATGCTCTTGCCAACTCCTGCTGCAGGCCTACAGAGGATATGGCTTTCTGCTGCTGGGCCCCCCCCCACTGTGAGTCCTCTCCCCCTGCTCCCTGGGGTGAGCCCTCCCCATCACTGCCCTCCCTCCCAGCACACTTCGGTGGCAGCACGCGCTCGCTTGGTCTCGTAGGCATAGCCCCACTCTTACGGTGTGCGCCTCTCATCGGTCTGTAGCAGGCCCTGGGGTGCTGGATTCGCCAATGGCTGCTGGCTCGAGTGTCTCCATTGTACCTGCCCTGCTCGCTGCACCTCCGCTGGGACTGGCGGGGCAGCCTCCGGCTAGCTGCAGAAGGGCCCCTGTGTGGCCTTCCAGTCCCTCTAGCACCCTGTGTCTAACTCACGCCCCGCCTGGCCTGCTCACACGCCTGGGTCCCCCCAGGCAGGCTGAGCCCACTGGCCCGACTAGCAGAGCCCTGGTAGAAATGCTGGGGGTAGCCAGAGGCCCCACACTCCTCCCCAACCCACCGTTCCGAGCCATGCAGGCGTTTGAGAATTTTGGCCGAAAAAAATAAGCCGGTTTACAAGAGAGAAAGGAAAGTTTATTAGGGCCATTCCCCCAGCTTGCGGTTCTGCTCCAAATCACTCTGAGTGCCCGTCTCCGCAGAGACACCAGGAGGTACGTCACCCGCAGGAGAGCTGCCACCCTTCCCCTGGAGCTCACCCGGTCGCCTTGTGCCAAGAAGGGCTGGCTCACGTCACTCCACTGCACGGTGCCCTGCTGGGCAGCCAGTGAGCAGCCCAGCTGCTGGGCTGTGCATGGAGAGTAGGCCAGTCACCCTCAGAGGAAGGGTGGTGGTGGGTGAAGCAGAGTGGTATGGGGAGAGTCCCATGGAGGTGGCACAGCAAGGCCCTGGCATGAACCCCTGTGCCTCAGCGTGTTGGTGGAAAGGAGGACAGGGGAGAGAGCATCTCTGAGGATGAGAGTGCTGCCCGCTGTGTGTAGGACAACAGCTGGAGTGCCACCCTGCAGCCAGGAGGAGAGCACTGCTCCTTCCCCAGCTCCCCAAACAGCAGGAGGCGGCCAGGCACTGGTAGTGAGGGAGCAAGCGGAGCTGGAGAGGGAGGTCGGAAGTGTAAGAAGTGTGGCGGGGGAGCCCTGCCTGCGGGGCGATGTAACAGCCAGGACACCCCCTCTCCGGCCGGCTGCGGCGAGTCTAGTCTCCAGGATGCATTGCGTGTGTGACAGCGATGACCCCTGTTGCCACGAGGATGATGACGAGGACGAGCAAGAGCAGGGACAGGCCCAGGGCCATGATGTTCAGGCACTTGGCGGTGGAGCCGTAGCTCCTTGCGCCACTGTGGTCGCCGACGACTTTACGATCCCTGGCCTGGAGGGAGGGAGGGAGGCAAATACAGCGTGTGATCCTCGTGCTTGGGGACAGGGCGTGTGAACCTCTGGGCTCGCAGTCCCAGGGCCTCAAATTTCCCTGAACTCAGGCTGGGGTGTGCCAGTCTCGGAGGGCCCCCCTTGGGGGCGTGGGCGGCGGTGTATGAATTTCGGGAAATGGGCCTGTGGGAATCTTGGGGGGCTCACGTGGGAGAATCTCAAGGTCCTGGGGCAGTGGCTCTCAAACTTTTGTACTGGTGACCCTTTCACATAGCAAGCTTCTGAATGCAACCCCCCCCCCCCCTTATAAATACATTTAAAAGTGTTTTTAATTGAACACAATTATAAATGCTGGAGGCAAAGCAGGGTTTGGGGTGGAGGTTGACAGCTTGTGATCCCTCATGTAATAACTTTGCGACCCCCTGAGGGTTCCTGACCCCCAGTTTGAGAACCCCTGCCCTAGGGCGATGGGTGGATGTGATGTCAGGGGCGCTCAGAGCTTGGCTGTGGGTGAGCAGCTGAGCCCACAGGGGGATGGGTGTGTCTGAACGCAGGGGCCCTGGGGGCTGGATTTAGGACCAAGCTGTGTGTTTATCAACTGCCTGCAGGAAACAGATGTTCTTCATGGGTAGAGAGAAACAACCAGGAAACTCCCCAGAAGGCTAGGGCTGGGAGGGGCAGCGAGTTCCTGCAGCATTGCTATGCCCTCTGTTACAGACAGGCTAAGTGCTAGCGGCTGGAGACCTGTCGGATCCCCATGGCCTGAGTTAGAGCCTTACAAAGTTGCACGGGGGCTTATCTGTGACCCCCGAGTCTGTAACAGGAGAGGCGCAGTCCCATCAGCCCTGAGGTCCCTGCACGTTTAGACTCAGTGCCCTTCTCTCTCCCAGCAGTGGGGTTTCCTACGTCTGGGGCTCAGCCCCTTGATTCTGGTTCTCTTCCCTTTTAGCGCAGCTCTGTGAGCGATAGCATCCCCTTGCCCCAGCCACACAGCTGTAGGACGTCCGCTCTCCCCTTCCCACCCCCGAGCCTCTCACCATTAGTGCTCAGCCCCCAGCAACGGCCTCCCACACTCAGGGCCTCCTTTGCGGTTCCAGTTGTCTCTTATACTTGGCCAGCAACTGTTTATTATCCCCTTACTCTGGCCCCAGAGCCGGGCTGTGGCAGGAAGAGGCCCAGCGTGGGAGCGCCGCACGCTTTATCAAGGCTGGGGAAGGGGGGTGGGGCGGGGGGTTGTGAAGCTGATAGAGCTGGAAAGTTGCTACTAAATTTTGTCCGCTCCCAGGGCCAGAGGGTGACTTAACGGGGCAGCACAGACTCCTGGCACCAGTGGGGGGACCCCTCAGCCCAGCCTGTGTAGCCTCAGACACTCATGCCCAGGTGCTCTCGGGTCACCCCCTTTGGGGAAAGTAAGCGGCAGGGTGGGGAATGAGAAGACACCCGTACCAGGGGCAGAGGGACAGGCTACAGCGGCCACATCTAGGTCAGCCTGAGACCAAGGGCTAATCCCGTCAAGGGAAGAGCTTCACCTCAGCCGCAGCCAAGTGTACGCGCACACATTCATACCACCGCAGCCCACGGCCGCAGGCGATTGCCCCGCCACAGGCTCACCCGTGGACACACGGCATGCAAGCGCAGGGCAGGCCCCGTGGACGCACGGCATGCATGTGCAGGGCAGAGCGGGGCACTGGCTCCTCTCACCTTGACGGAGAAAACCAGAGCCATGAAGCCGAGGCAGCAGAAATTCACATAGAGGGTGCTGAAGATGGACCAGATGATGTGGTCGCTGGGAGGGGGCAGGTACGGGTGCATGCTGATAACCGTGGAGCTGACGGTGGCTCCTGGAGGGACCTCTCCGATCTCACTCTCTTCCTTCAGGTGCTCATAGTTGTGGTTTGGGAAGGGCTGGTTGCTGCGGGCCGGGAAGGTGTACGGGGTATTGTCCATCTTCCCTCCGGGTGACCGACAGCTGCTGGCAGAGCCTAGGCAAAGAGGAATCTGCTGTAATCTCCCAGGCAGATCTCAGGACTGGGGCAGCCTGGAGCTCAGAGCAAGGAGGGAGGAGGTGGAGCTGCAGGAGAGGGCTGGCCCTTGGTTTCTGCTCTGTGTGCAGCCCTCTTTGTATTTCCCCACCTTCCTACTGTAAGTTTCAATTTCTCAGCCATTTGAGAGCAATCTGGAGAACAGAAAGGTTTCCTCTGCCAGCTGGCGTCCTAAGCCCTGCAACCACAAAAGGTCTGTGGGTAAGGTCACTCAAATCCCGATATTAGGGGCTTTGTCTTGTGTAGGACCTTATTACCCTGGTATTATCCTGATTTTTCACACTTGCTCTCTGGTCACCGTACCTATGGGCCTCAGCCCTCTTCCCTGGTATTTGCTTTCCCAGCGGCTCAGCCAACACCCTGGAGTGTCCACCCCGACGAAGTGGGCAACAGCTGAGAGTACAGCTCTTGCTGTACTGTTTACCATCACTTTTATCCCCACCCCCACCCCCGTTTGCTATCGCTGGGTGGGATGGGACCACAGAAAGCCAGGCCCAGTGGGTTGAGGGCACTGCACCCCAATAGCTGGGGTAAATGTGCAAGGCCCCGCTCAAGGTGTTTTACCCAGGCTCCTGCTCCTAGCACATGGAGGTCTAGAAATACAGGCTGGGATTTTTGAGAGCCCAAGGGACTTAGGCACCCAGCTTCCCACCAAGCAGTCCAAAAATGGGATCAGGCATCTCAGACTCCACGACACATGTATGGAACAGATTAGCGCAGATGTGATGCAGCCATGAACAGCAGGAAGTAAATAGACCAGTGCGTAACAATAGTTTGACCCTATATACCGTAGATTTCCCTTTGCACCATACAGTAGAAGCCCCTACAAAGCATAGATCTCAAAGTTCTTTACAAAAAAGGGATCCGTTATCATTGCCTTCCTTTTACAGATGGGGAAACTGAGGCATGGGCCAGTGAAGTGACTTGCCAAGGGTCACCGAATGAGTCCGTAGCAGAGCTCGGAATAGAACTCAGGGTTTCTGATTCCCAGCCCATGCTGCTGAATCAAACTTGCCTCTAACTGCAGGCAGGAGTGCAACTATAACACTGACACATAGCGCACAAACAGCAGTGACGGCAAATGCTGCTGGGCTAATGGGAATCCCGGTAGCGGGCAGACTTGGAGGAGCATTGCCACCATCTTGGTCTTCCAAGGCTTGTCCTTGTTTCCATGGATCTGCCCCCTTCCCCGGGCCTGTGCTGAGTTCCCATCCCGTGACAGATAGGTCTGTCAGGACTGGAAGTGGCAGCGTCCTATCACAAGGTAGCAGAGCCATGTTGCGATGCACTCTCATGCGTTACACTTATTGGTCCTGCGCAAAATAGAGCAAAGGTGGCAACCCACTTAAATGGGGGGGGGGGGCAGGGAGATGGTCTGTCCAAGTGACTCCTGTGGCCAGGAGGTGGGTTGGGGAGCAGCAGTCTGGCAGACGGAGAAGGCCTCTCTAGGAGCCAGGCCAGGGCTGTGAGGCTCAGCCAGGGAAGCTGCTTCTCCTTCAGCTCACTGGAGGCCGGGCGTCCGTGATGCGTGAGCAGGCCTGGGGAAAGCCGGGAGCTGTCTGTTTGCTGGGGGATTAGCCGGTTTGCACATTTTCCCTGCTGGGTGGGGATTAGGGGTAGCTCTGCTGAGGGGAGCTGTCTGTGCAAGCCCTGCTGTTGCTCAGGCCCTAGGCCAGTGCCGTCTTCTCTAGCAAACAGGGGCGCTGTAGTTCTCCCCCAGTTTGGCCCCACCAGGGTCGGCGATGGCGGGAGCGCTAGGGTAGACAGGCCATGGGGCGGTTCTCACCAGCCCCAGCAGGGTTAGAGAATGGGACGGTAAAGGTCTACGCTACTGCTCCCGCCATGATTACCCTGGGTGGAGCTGCCCGGGGGGTGAACTAAAGCTAGAGTTAGCTCGTGGAGATACCTCCGCAGGGGACCCTGCACGTACACGCCTGGCTCTCCTGTCCCAGGGCCACAGCCTCAGTTAGGAGTTCTGAGGGGCTCCCCATCTCCTTGAGCCCACCCGACAGCGGAGGCGACCTGGGACTGGGTCAACGTTTGCCCAGTGACAGTCACCGATCCCCACTGTCCTGCTGGCCGCAGCCCCCCTTCTTTGTCATGAGACGCGGTGGAGACAAAGCAGTGGCAGCTGTTTCCCCCTCCTGCGTGACTGGTCAAAAGGCAGCAGAAGTGGTGCAGTTATGTGGTTTCCCATGAAGATGTGATTCTGCACCTTTCGCTCCCCTCATCCCAGCTGCTCCGCTGGCCCTGGGGCCGGGGAGCCCTCCCTGCTCAGGAATCTCTCATCTGTGCCTCTCCCCAAACAACCTCTCCCTGGGCAGCAGCACAGAGCTTCCCTGCAACAGTCAAAGGGGCCGGGATGCAAGTGGCTGCAGCTGGAGCCAAACAGGGCTCAGCCGGGTGCTGGAAACAGGCCAGCGAGCATGTTCATGCCAGGGGAAGGGGCAGCGCCGTGTTTGGCTTCAGCAGGCCCCTGAAGCCGTGGTTTCTGAGAAATCACGTGGCCCGTTAGCTCTCGCTTTCCTGACTTGGACAGCAGGACCCTCCTTTCCTGCCGGTTAGGTTTCTGGTGTCAAGGAAAGAGCAAGCGACAGAGCTAATGCAGGGGCGGGCCGGAGGGGAAGAACCTGGAGACATGCAGTGGCTATAGACCTAGCTGTGCACTGGGCCTCTTCCGAGCTACGGCCGCCCCAGCTGCGTCACCTCTGTTCCTTCCCTGGGACGGCCCCCACATCCTCCTTCTTACTCTTTCCAGTAAAGCCCCTGCACACCCTCTCCCTGGCACAGACCACAGGCCCCTCCTCTCACACCCTCTCCCTGGCACAGAGCCTGTGTGTGTGTGTTCATGAGGGAGAGGATCTAGGAGCAAGGCTGGATCTGGGCTTTTAACAGCCAAGCATTTAGCATCCATCGGTTTTGGTTTAGCCCGTTATAAAACTGGGGGCTCCTTGCTAAACTCAGAGCCAGCTTTCAGAGCCCACCCCAGTCATAGGGTGTGTGGAGCTGCAGCATTGTCAGCCCCAGGCATTCAAAAATCATGAGTCAGACCCCAGAAGAATCAGGATCAAATGTCAGTTTATTTAAAAAAATGTTTGGGGCTCTTCTTTTGCCTACTGGTTTTTGAGCCATCAGGGTTCCCTTGGGTCATATTGTCAAGGTTTTCCTCCACAACCAAGAGTGCTAGGAGCTTAGCTTTGGGGAACGCACACACGTACACACACACATTTTTCCATGACTCACAATAAACATCACAGAATTTTGCAACTCTGGATCTGAGATGTTAGTTTGGCGATGTCTCTTGCTCTTTGTTTAGGAGCCACAAGCTGTGTGTGTGTGTGTACACACATGTGCGTTACCGTCCCCCTCTCCCATGCCACTTCTGCTCTCTCTGGCCCATAACCAAAGCCCGGCGAAGTCAGTGGAAAGAGTTCCAGTGACTTTGATGTGCTTTGGATCAAGGTGTCTGTGTGTGTCCCTCCCACCAGCTACTCTCGCTGGGTTTTGCTCTGGGTGTGCTGCAGGCTGCTCTGTCCTCTAGGGGGAGGAAAGTGATGCAACAGATCTTCTATTGTCCTTCCTACAGCCCAGTTTACACTGATCATCAGGAGCGCAGCAGCTCAGGGCTCCTTGCTCAGAGACTACTGCTGAGCAGGCATGGGGAGTTTTAACACTGCAGGAGAGTCTTTCGGATTAACAAGGAGACGGCAGACTGCTTCAAATCCAACCCCATTGGGTAGTAATTTTTAAATGATTGTTACTTAACATTTCTATTGTGGTAGCACCCAAAGGCCACAGTCAGACAGGGCCACATGGTGCGAGGCGCTGTACAAACATATTGTGACATTCCCTCCCCCAAAGGGATTTGATGTAGCCTTGCTACTGGGACTTTCGTGGGGCTTCCCTTCCAGTCAAAGAGCACAGCTGCTGAGCTCACATTTAAAAAAAAGGAAGGTCCAGATATGCAGCTGATGTATATCAGGTAGTTTCAGCGTTGTACCGATTCACATCACATGAGGTTCTGGCCCAGCGTTCTAGCTCTTTCGTTTGCAGAGAGGGAGGAAAGAAACACGCGGCTGGCCAGGTTAGGCCTTCTCTACAGTGGAAACCTGTTTTGGTATCATCTAAGGAGTGAATTGAAACCGCTGTAGTTATAACTCCCTTTGTGGGCACTGCCATGAGTGGCTTATTTTGGCACCAGTTTAGCTTGTGTCCCTTGGGAAGGGGTTAAAGCTAAACTGACAAACGGCACCCTGATCCCTGAAGAGGAATGTCCACACTTGGAGTTATACAGTATAACCAGAGTGATTTAACTGGCCACTTTCCTCCATAGACAGGCCCTTAGCCCAGCCATGCAAAAAACCATTCTGCGGCCTAACCACAGCAACGGTACAGATGTGAAACCTCTGGTTCCCAATCACACTTGTGTAAGCAGAGTCAGCATGGGCTCCACCCTGACATCTGGTGGTGAAGTGTGGCAAGTTGTGGAAAAGAACTTCAGGGGCTGATCTCATTTGCATAGGCACACCCACCCCGCCTAGAATGAGGCCATAGCTGCCCAAATGGTCACTTTGGCTGCTGTGGGATCCCCAGTGTCTCTGTTATTGGGGCAGGAAGAATAAATTGTTATTACCCTGATTATGGGAATCAAGGACAGTGGAACTGTACTTGGCCTTTTGTTATGATGGAGGGACTTGCCATCAACTAAGTAGCACTCGCTAGGCAAGGGACATGGGTTCCAAAACTCTGTGAATTGAGGGGGGGGGGGGGGCTGGGGACAGGAGACAGGTATTAGCACTAGGTGGTATGAAGTATTATTAATACCTGGTGAGGGCTTTGCATGCTAATTGCACTTCCTTCTCTGTCCACTGTGGAATATCAGAGCTAATTTTGATTCCATGAGGAGTCTAGTTATAGGCTGCTGAGCTGAATTGATTTTGGGCTAATGGTGTACCAGCACTGAGGCTCCCCTACTACAAGCTGAAATCACAAAAGAGCTAAACTTACTAAGAGCTGAAATC